CTAGCCCCCCATATAGATAATGATCAGGCTCGGTTGCTTAACTTTGGTAATCGTAAAGGGACTGGTGTTTCAACATGATAAGGCCGTATGCCCTATTTATTTAAATATTTATATACTCCTCGTGACGAAAATACAGGGTGCAATGGGTAAATTGTCTTCTAAATTAAAGAAAAAGGAAAATAACACCGACATCGCATTTTAACAGATATATTTACCAAAATTACACAAAAATATCTTGAAATATTAGACTAAATTTATTTAATAATATCGTCATTGGCTTCAACCACAGCGTCCACCCAACTTCGGAACCTCCTGCATCTCTTCTGGACAGTCACCTTATTTAAGTTGGTGAATGCTGACATAATCCTTACCTTCAGTTCATCTTTGGTTTTACAAGGAGATTTGTTGATCCCTTGCTGAACTGCGCCCCAAATATAATAATCAAGGGGATTGCAGTGGTTCCAATTCAGGCAGGAGTTTAAACACTGGATACTGATTTTCAAAATAGGCAGGCGCTTTCCAATAGAAAGCATAAGAGCACAATCAATCTATCTATGCTTTTTCTGCTTGTACCTATCTGTCTAGAAAGACACATTTAAACAATTAATAGTTGGCATAAAATTGTTAAGCTTCTTAGTTTCTCAGGAGAAAGTTGGTAAATCGAACTAGAATTTCGGAATTAATTATACAACTGAGAAAAAATTGTTAATTCATTGATTGAATCGACATAAACCGAAGAATATGGGTCAGTCAAGAATTAATCATTGGGAAAGCCTCCAAGAATCGCCATTATTTACTTAAAATTTGCCTCTAACTTAATGAGAAAATCGATTGGACCATTAACCTTCCCGATTTAATACTCCTGATTAACACTTGCATGTTTGGCAGAAGCGATAGAGAAACGGACCAAAGCATAAAATCTCTTTGGCGAGGAACACGACGCTTATTCTTATGAGAATGGTAGATGCCAGTTATTGATTTGTACCAAAGTTTATAACGGAAATAAGCTAAGACTGCTTTCTTCTCAGCTGTTTGGGGAATATAAAAAATCATAAATTTGTAAAATAGGTGTTATCTTTCTCAATATTTTCTATTTAAATAATCAATAATCGATTCTCCTGAACTTTTTTTTCGAAACAAAGCTGTGTAACTTTTTAAAAAACTTGATTAATCCAAAATATCATTAACCACTTGACGTTAAATATAAAGTCTCCAAAATACACTACTTATTTTAATTGGTGGATAGACGAGATTATTAATGCTGTACCAAGTAAATGGTTAAAGAAATAACAAAACAAGTGTTACAGATATATCATATATTAAACGGTAAGTACAACAGAAGCGTATTACACAACGAGTGAGTATGTTTCGGTTGACCCAGCGTTTAATCTATTCAACTGTTATATTTAACAGACCCCGCCTCCACGATGGATGGATGTGGTACAAGGCAAAGTTTACCGTGTGTTCTCCGAGCCCAAGCCAAAAATATTCCCTTTGAACCCGCATAAACGGGTTCAGGGTCTGTCTACCTCCCCGGACGAAACTTTGCCCTTCGGAAAACACTCGTCCAGTTTCCTCTCTGCTCAAGGCAGTGAGTTCGACAGATGAACAATCTGGTCGACTGTTAATATTTAACAACCCCACCAACGAGGGTGTATGTGGCACAAGGCCGGTTTATTGTGGGTACACCGAACCCGTAGGCTCGGCCAAAAATATTCCCTTTTGAACCCGCCTAAATGGGTTCAGGGACTGTCTACCTCCCCGGACGAAACTTTGCTCTGCAGCAAAGCTTCGTCCGAGTTCCTCTCTGCCTCGACAGAGAGTTCGACAGAAATGAACAGTCTGGTCGATTGCTCCCCCTAGGCCTTCTCTCCTATTAATCTTGTAGTAGGTGGAAGAGTCCAACATAGACTCTTTAGAGGAGGACACTACAAAAATTAAACATTGTGTCACTTCCACCGACTGGTCGGTCATGAGTGCAACAGGTATCCTCCCTCTAGCAGGCCGTCATATGCAAAAACGATTAACCAGCCATTTCTTTCTTACGGGATACATGTAATGGCGGTCATACCGTTAAAAAATGTGGAAGTGACAAGACAACAACTTGAAATAAGATGTGGTTGAGGAGTTTTTTACTCGATGGCTTGCTTGCTCCGGCTTATCGTATATCACTCGTAGAAGACTGAGAGTTCGTTCAGCGTATAACACAAGCTAGTTGTCGAGATAGATACGTGGAAGAAAATTATCTCGCATATGTAGTCGCGTGAGATAGACTTTTGCGAGAAATATGCCAAGTATTATCGCATTGTAGTAACCCATTTCGTCGCTGGTCGAAGGCATGGCTGTTGATAGAAGCCCCTTGGTTTCGATACTGGTGGCCTGGTTAAGCTTGGCTGCCGTGGGGTCCATCGTTTGTGCCCGCTTTGTCGAATCTACTTTCATGGGTGGAATCAGCGTATAGTGATTCACTGGCACAGAAACGGCTGCTGCGAAAACCATGTAGCTTTTTTGATCAGTAAGAAAAGCTGTTTTATGACCCTGGTATGTTAGGACGTTATACCGGAAGTGGGAACATGGAACCGGACGAAATTAAGGTTTCTTTTAGTCGTATGGTCTGTGGATTCCGTTTGAGTTCCGACAGGGTGCAACATATATGAATCGAACAAGAAAGTAAATGACAAAGTAAAAATAGGCTGAAATTGGTAGAAATTAGTAAGAATATACAAAATGACAGAGATAAAATAAAATAAAATACATATTTTATTAATCAATTCTCCCTAAACAAGTGATAGAGAATGTAAAATACTTTAGAAGGAACCAGAAACCTAATTCTAAAGAGGAAATAAAGAAAACATAAAAAGTAACCAGAAACTTAATTCTAAACCGGAAACAAAGAAAACCTAAGAAGGAAACATAAAAACCTAATTCTAATCGGGAATAACAAAAACCTAATAAGGAACCAGAAACCTAATTCTAAACGGGAATAAATAAAACCTAAGAAGGAACCAGAAACCTAATTCTAAACAGGAAATAAAGAAAGCAAAAGGAACCAGAAAATTTAAACAGAAATAAAGAAAAATGGAAGAAACCAGAAACCTAATTCTGAACAGAAATAAATAAAACCTAAGAAGGAACCAGAAACCTAATTCTAATCGGGAATAACAAAAACCTAATAAGGAACCAGAAACCTAATTCTAAACAGGAATAAATAAAACCTAAGAAGGAACCAGAAACCTAATTCTAAACAGGAAATAAAGAAAGCCTAAGAAGGAACCAGAAGCCTAATTCTAAACAGGAGATAAAGAAAACATAAGAACGAACGAGAAACCTAATTCTAAACAGGAATAAATAAAACCTAAGAAGGAACCAGAAACCTAATTCTAAACAGGAAATAAAGAAAGCCTAAGAAGGAACCAGAAACCTAATTCTAAACAGGAGATAAAGAAAACATAAGAACGAACCAGAAACCTAATTCTGAACAGGAATAAATAAAACCTAAGAAGGAACCAGAAACCTAATTCTAAACCGGAAACAAAGAAAACCTAAGAAGGAACCAGAAACCTAATACCAAATAGGAAATTAAAAAATACCTAAGAAGGAACCAGAAGCCTAATTCTAAACAAGAAATAAAGAAAACGTAAGAAGGAACCAGAAACCTAATTCTGAACATGAAATAAAGAAAACCTGAGAAGGAACCAGAAACCTAATTCTAAACAGGAAATAAAGACCTAAGAAGGAACCAGAAACCTAATTCTAAACAGGAAATAATGGACTAATCCTTTTAAAAAAACACGGAGTGTGTGAACCGGATAATGGTTGAAACTGTCTATTCCAATTGAAGAAATTTTGCTTCCAATTCATAATGGAATGACTGCAAAACACCCTCCCCAAATTTATAGACGAAATACACAGATGCATGCTGGGATTTCTTCTTAGCTAATAAGATAAGCCACTTCTCGATCTAATCTGATATAATTCTGTTCTTTCTCATCTGGAAGGCAGAACGCCGCGATCGCTTGTGTGTATCCCCTTCTGTGGGCTAACACAATTCTTAGTTTGTGAACTTTTTGCTTTGTTACTGTTGTTTTATCGTGCTTATATTCTTTGCCCAATATTATGTTTTACCCTGTTTTTTTACACTATTTACATTATTCGGACTATTGTCCTCATCTTTGTCCCCATATTTAACACAACATTTCAGTCGTTGTAAGCTCCAGCCTTCTTCAGGTGGTATTGAACTCAGACTCATTGGGTCCTGACACTGGATCTAACTAACGCTTTTATCCACTGTGCCATGTGTCCTCATGGTTAAGGCGGTGGAGAACTTAGAGAGGGGAATTAACAGGAGATAACTGATAACTGACATCCATTAGACATGGCACGTGGAACTAGAACAGTCTACTCCAGTGAGCGAAATAAAGGGTTCAGTTCGACATTCCAACCATCTGAAGAAGGCTGAAGCGTACAACGGCTGAAATATGAATTATAGGAGAGAGACCATGTCATGGAAATATCTTTTGCAAGCGAGTTGCCCTACTGATCGTTCCCACTATGGATTCTGTTCGCATTCGACTCGCTCATTCTTGTACCAGACTAAACTAATCTTTGTAAAGTGCTGCTCACTTATCTAGAGCATTCTTCGTTGAAGCATAATGCTTAATAATCTTGTTTCACATATCATCAACAGCGAGTTACATCCTGACAGAGTGCCCAATGCTTGTAGCCTTGTACCAGAACTAATCTATACTTAAGCAAATAACTTCGGAAGTCCCGGTGTGGTTTAATTGTCAGTGAGCCACTATGTAGTGTGCTCGATTCACACTGGATGTTAAATATCTGTTACTTTGTGTCCAAATTAAGCTCAACTCCATAAATAGCAATTGGTTCATACATTGTAGGATAATGGACGATTTTGTATATAATTACTGTTACTAAGTGTGTTCGGTCCTCAGTGAGTAACCCATACATGTAACTTGGTTCAAGACTAAGCAAACCTTATGCCCGTACGATCACCGAAGTTAAGCAACTTCGAGCCTGGTCAGTACCTTGATGCGTGACTGCTCGGGAATGCCAGGTGCTGTCTTTTAGCGTAAATGTGTTTTAGTGTTCAGAATATTCCTTTTGATACCATTATACTTATCAGAGTGTCCCTTCCAATTTTGCAAGCTTACGGCCATATCACGTTGGAACACAGGTTCACTGAAGATATGCAACGTGATTCTTTACGGTACCTACATGGGTAACCGCCTGGGAATACAAAGTGCAGTAAAGTTGTATGTGCGGATGGTGTAATGGATAAAGGCTCTGGGTAGCTGAGTTCCAATTTCAGTTGGGTTGGTTATATTCACTTACAAGCAAATATCCATGGGGAAGTTATGAATCCACATCATCTGCCCCCAACTATGGGTTAATTGCTATAACTAGTATCAGCTTCAAAATGCTTACAAACAAAACCTATTTTACGACTTTAAATAACCTGCAAAGTGTCGATAAGCCGCAGAAAATGGCTCAATCATTGAAATACAGATTAACAGGCGTGCTTTTTAGATTTATTTACATTCTCTGGAATTTTGCTGTTTCTAAGTTATTTTAAAAATATATTAAAATAATTGCCAGAATTAGTCCATTTCATAATATATTCTCTGGAATATAAATGTATAGAAACTAACGTGACTAAAAAGTGAGGAATCAGTTGATACATTGATTTTATTGTAGAATTATTCCCCCATTTTATATCCACATTATAATTTCTTATTGGTTTATCAAATTCAGATTAATTATCGATGCACCTCTTTCACCCTCCAGCTACAGGTTACTGTGACTTTTATCATTAAATCATTATTTTATAAAAAAATTCTTAGAATCTAAAAATATTTTCTGGCTTTAAATAACCTGTAATGGGTTGATCAGCAATAAAAAAAAACAAATCATTCATTAAATGTTTAGTCAACATTGGTGCGAATAGACTGACAAAGAGATGAGAATTGTTTTGATAATAAATAGACGTACAAAATGGAGTTGGTTTGTTATGCGGGCCTCAGTGACGAAGTGTAAACTAACTAGACTCAATATAACGCAGCTACTTCTAATTCCTATGGTGATACTAATTCAAGTATGAATAACCCACTGGAACAGCCCCAAAGGTAACGTCATTCCATCCTGAGTATTCAACCATAAAGCGAAGGCTTATAAGTAATAGAAATTTTGGAGATTTAAATTACGCTGGGGCCCAAAAAGGACGAAACGGCCGCCCAGTGATTTCTGCATTCTCTTGAGCATTCTTCGTCGACTCGATGAATTATTGTGTGATATATATATATATATATATATATATATATATATATATATATAAACCCTGAAAGCACTACACACACACGCACACACACACACACACACACACACATATATAATTATATATATATATATATTTAAAATTCCTTTATTGTACATTTTTCCTGTGTGAATTTTAAATCTCCTGTTGAAGCCTTTAAGAGCGGGAGAGTGAAACCGGTTGTTTTCACCTGTTTTTTTTTAATATGTCTCGTAATATTAAGTTTTATACTTTTTTTCAATCATTAAATTTTGTACAAAATATTTTTTAAATATATATATATATATATATATATATATATATATATATATATATATATATATAATAAACCTGGTTTACTACCACCTGGTGAGATGCGATGATATACATCGAAACATGAATACATTTATTAAGCGGTTTTATGTTCGAATGTAATTTCCTAAAATAAAGCATATACATATATATATATATATATATGTGTGTGTGTGTGTGTGTGTGTGTGTGTGTGTGTGTGTGTGTGTGTGTGTGTGTGTGTGTCAGGGAGAACTGTCGTTAGATCAGACGTGTTTAACTAATTTCAGGCCGGTAGACAAAAATAGATACTGTTTAAAAACCAAAAAAACGTAGCTTCTACTCAAATATAAGTACCCATGAAAAATAATGTATGTAATGGTAAGTAATGGCCAGTCGGTCCTATTCGAATATATTCTTCTGCTAGGATGGCTAGACAATCCCTATTACAGTAGACTGCTCCGGCACATGTGTTTTTTATTCAAAACCTTAGAGTTCATCTTTGGTTTATATTGTATCTATGCTGAACGGGGCTTAGTTACAGTTTATGGGAGAGACCGCATTGTTTGCCGTGGTCAACAGTCTGGACAAGGCTAATAACCTCAAAACCTCAGTTACGATGAACGAGGAACGGATTAATTTCTAAATGCCGTCACCGCAGTAGATTTAAGATTACCTAGACTCACATCGAACCAGCATGAACTATCAGCGGAGGACATTCAACTGAGAGTCTCTGCTCCTCCCCAGTCCGGACTGATCTTAATTGAACAAGAACTGATCAATTAACTGTCACACTGCACATCCCACTTCTCCCACCCCACCTCTTTATACACCCTTAACCAATTCTCTATCTGCTTCCGCCCATATATATATATATATATATATCCCTCCTCCGTCATTAAGTCACTAATAATTCTTGATAAATATCAATAATAACCCCACGAAATTTTCACCTTCACTTCACTTCTTTTTCTCACCTTTGAGTTCATCTATTGAATTATCCTTGATTATCGTTGATTATCCAGTACATATAGGCATTAAATCTCCACCAAATGGATTCAGATATAATGATAAATAATTAGATAATCTTTGGCCTTATTAAATATCATGTAATAACATTTTTCGGAAGATTAAATGAGTTCTTAAATTTAGATAAATATACGTATATACATTTTATGTAGGGGTATATATGGGTGAACGTATGTATGTATGTATATGAGTGTATGTGTAGGTATGCCTGTGTAGTAGAAACACATACACACACACACACACACACACACACATATATATATATATATATATATGTAAACCTTATATCTTATGTCTAATTATTATATACCATTCAGTATATCCAATCTTAAGTAATCAAATTTTACTATCATCACGAGCCTTTCTAATATTTAACATATTGTAGATACGTTAATATATGAATTTAAAAAGTAGTTTTTAAAGGTTCACTTACAGATACATATTAGATTACAGATTGAAGAATTGACTTTGGAATATATATCTACGGAAAGAAATAATGACTATACATTCGTACCTAACAATAACTTCGTTTTCACTTTTGTCTTATAATTCCGTTTAGTTGCGGTTGACTTAATGCCCGACTTTTGCTAACTAAACTAAAATCCTTTTATTATTGTTCGAAAATGTTTCATCCTAACATAGGGTATTTGTAGATACATGCCGGCTAGCATATGTATGTATATGCATGGATGTAGGTATCTAAGCGTATGTAAGTATAGATGCCTATGCAAGTAGAGATATTCTTAAACGCATGAGTACGCATATATATCCAAATTCTCTCTAAATCTTTAAAAACCCTCCCCCAAACTTTGAGCTCTGACATAAGAACGAGTTTAATACACCAATAATTCTGAATTATCTCCCTTTCGTCTTACTAAAATTACCTCTTGATTGTTTCTTCACGTTTTTGTTAATTTCCGTTGAATCAAACGTTGGCCGTGTGACCATTAGGATGTAGGTCAGCTCATCGGTTTCTCCTTCTCTCCCCCTACCCAGGCTCTCGTACCTCCTTTAATATAATTCGTGTAACGGTGCCTTCTTCTTCCATATTTCCCACCATGTCCATTTTAACGTCTTCCCTCTCTTTTTCCCCAACTATCCAGTATCCCACCACAAACTGATACCATAAACAGTTTGAAAAATCCTGCAAATTTTAAAATTTTAATGTGTGCCATATTTATGGGATAAAGTGCTCAATATCAGAGCCAGAGCGAATATAAATATAAAAGTGAACATTGAAGTTAACACTCAGAGGCGACAGAGTGTTTAATGCTAAACGCTATCATCATCGCCTGATGATTGCGTTTAGTATGATATATATATATATATATATATATACATATATATATATATATAAATATTTTGAACAATAAAAAATATTAAAAAAATATTAAAAATTAAAAAATTAAAATCTTCAGACACACTGGGTTGTAGATTAATATTCTTTCGTTTTGTTTTTTTATTATTATTATTTCATTTAGATTCCTCGACTAGTTTCGGCCAAAATGGCCATCATCAGGAGAAGTAATATTTCAGCTTGCTGGTAGCAGTGAACTACAGAAATAAATGTCTTGGTGGAGAAAATGAACTTTTGTCTGTAGTTTTCATTTGTTTTTTTTATTTTTTTATCTTTTTAACATGACTCTTTTAACATTCCTTGTGTTGGTCAAACAGTCTCTTTTAAGTTGTTATTTGAGATAAGAGCTGGATGGATCTATGCTTCTCTGAATTCCCTTGGTCAGTTTGACAGTTTTATTGGTGCTGGAGAGGGGATGTGTCCATGTTAAGTGTTTGTGTGTGTGTTATTTGGTTCTTAGGGAGTGAGTGAGTATGATATGTGTAAGCGCGTGTATTGCTGTGGGTGTGTGTTATCATTTGGCTCATTAGGGAGTGAGTGAGTATGATGTGTGTAAGTGTGTATATTCGTGTGGGGGGTGTATAAGTGCGAGGCCTCCATTCCTCCGTAAGCATGTCTGTCTTGTGTAGGTGAGAAATGTGGGTGGGTTTTGATTTGTAGAGTTATATATTAGTACTATCTATATTGTTAAATTTATGGTTTATCCCGGCTGGATAGTGTGTTTTTAGACGTTGTATCCACTTATTTTCATGGAACTCTAAAATCTTTCTAATGTTATCTGCTCTGAACTTTTCTATTCTCTTAATTATAGTGAATTTGGCATCGTGTTTAATTATAGTGAATTTGGCATCGTGTTTTTTCCAGGCGGAAATGCTGTTCTACAGATAATAATTTTTCATGGGGAGTCGACTTAATTCGATTGCGATAATTAATAATTCTTTAGTGAAAGGGCCATTCAGATTTTCCTACATATTGTTTCTGGCATAGTGTGCATTCTAGGAAGTAAATTATGTTATGACTTCTACAGTTAGAATCGTGGTATATTTTAAAAGTAGATTTAGTGACTGAGTTAGTGAATGAATTTATATATATTTAT